GATGCTCCACATATTGCGCAAAAGCGTCACCGAAGGCCATAAAACACGTTGGATTATTAAAACGTTTTTTGGATCATTCGAAGCAGACCTATTGCCTCGTTTGCTATCAGTATACATTGGACCACACACCGAGTATGTTCTGCAGGTTTGGAATCTATGGCTAATTCGCGACCAAAAGGTGCTCGAACGTCCGCAGAGAACAGCAGCCAAAATGGTCAAAGGGGTACAGTCTAAAACCCACGATGAAAGGCTTCATATTCTCGGAGTCTATTCGTCTGAATTCCGTCGAATACGGGAAGACATGATCCTCGTATATCAAATACTACATCAATCTAACCACTCGTGTAGTACTCTACTAACACTATCCAGTAATGGTCACCTCAGAGGACATCCGTTTAAACTTTCACTCCAAGAGATTCGGCTAGACTGCATGCATCAATCTTTCAGTCTCAGAGTTTGTAATACCTGGAACTCGCTTCCGCTTCAAATCGTTTGTGCACCAACCATCAGTTCATTCAAGTCACGGATCGATCGAAAAACCTAAATTTTCAGCACCCGTGAGTAAACGTTATAATTTGCTTTTTAATTGTACTACAGACCGAACCCGGTGTGTACTGATCCTATGGGATTCAATAAGCATCAGCTTTGTAATTTACCCATAATAAAAATTTGAATTTGAACTTGTCTTCGCTACAGTTTTCATACATGCTAGGAAAATTACAGTATGCCCGCATCTCCCTTTCCTGTCCCCACTAATCGCTTTACTGGACGGAGCACGTTATGAAATCCCATTAGGGAGGTATGTGCAATAATCATCACAGATACCATTGAAAGTAGTTGAAACGTTGACAGACCATGATGCATGAGCTCGTTAACGGGGAGAATTGGCCAACTTCTTCCAAATGGATTTTTATCCCTTTTCATTCATGTACTGTCAGAAGTTACCGGACAGGTTTGAGTTTTACCAAACTTGCCTATCAATACATGTGGTTCCTCGTGCCCATTTGACAGGAGTATAGGTTCTCATCCAGCCTGGGCATATTAAATGAAGTTCATCTAACAATATTTTTTGTGGTTAGAACAACAGTCACGGTTTACTTGGTACAGAACAGGCCTAATAAGTCTGCTTGAAGAATAGTCAGTACTGTGAATGGAAGAACTACACTGTTAAACGTGTACATCCAATTATCAATGTGATCAATAAGACATTAGTCCGTACAGTGAAAATAGTGTCCATTTGTGTGTTCGCATGTGTGGATGTGTGTATCTGTGTGCATGACTTAGGACTTTTTGTGGATGCGTCACGAAGCGATAAAGTCCGAATCACTTCCCAATCGTGGTACATGGCCGCTCACCCTCATCTCTCAACTTGTTTGACTACTGGGACACAAATCAAGGCAACCGCTCTGCACAATTTGTTTCAGCTCTGGTCTATATTATCTTTTAGTAATCTGCAAACGTACATTCAATTTGCACACCATGGAATCAGGCGTAAACTTGAACACGCGCGCTTTGTTGACACATCGGTTTTTTTTGGTGCACTGTGAGTCACCGATGCACACGGTTAGCGTCGGTCTTTTTTTATCAAATTCCCTGTGCTACTTTGACCCACAGGCAGGCAATTTCGGGTCAATTATCTGGCAACGCGTGAGGAGGAGGAAATCGAAACACCATGAGAACTGAGTAAATTGGATGAATGTGATCCGGAAATTGAATGGTTCACTCATAATTAACAGTTTCGAGGATGGACGTGGGCACTAGATTTGTATCTGACTAACCACATGAATTCGACGCAATGCGATCGAACCAAGTGTTGCCACAATACACCTGTGCTGACTAGTCACAATAGCTTCATCCAACCGAGTGAGAAAAATGCGACTGGTCACATAGCACATGTGGCAGTTTGATCCACCCAACCATTCACCTTGCATTTTCATGCGTCGTTTTTGGTCACGGTCTTTTGACTACCCATTTGATCGACCTGGGGAGGAACGAGTAAATAGAGGCGATCTAAGAGTGATATGCATGATTCGCACAAATCAAACCTGAGCAGTTCATGGGCGCGGATGTTTGTGGTCTTTGAATCATACCACATACATTTCGATACGGGCGATTGAAAATAGATTTCAAGTTACCCAAGCCCTCTCCCACAACATCAACGTCGTCTACCTTGGACAACCTGAATTTCGATATTATCGAACACACACAATTCACTTCATTCAGTATTTTCATCTGGATACTGCTCACAGCTTTAGGCTTTCGTCGACATCTTTCTTCATCCGTCAGCCAAGTGGGAAGCAAACAAACAACAGTCTAATCGAACGCACCCCAGTGCAAGGCTCATGGCGGTGCCAACTGAACTAAACTGAGATGCAGTGTTTACTGCCCGTGAATTATTCCTTGAGTATTACAACCACCAACTAAATGTTATGCGTAAAACGTCTACCTCCCATGTACCATTGGCTTCACTGGGGATTTAGATCGTGAACATGTATGTGTGTTTGGAAACAAACCACTAAATATTTTTTTATATTTCACCATTATGGCGTCCACAGGGGTTATCAAACAGATTACCCACCAATAATTGACAGCAAAACGACGGCAAAACTGGCAAATTTTGTGACTGAATTTCAGTTTGTAGATTATTCAGTCGCTGTCTTCCCAGCCAGAAGTGATGTCCAAACAATATGGCTACGATTTATGCTAATGTGGTTTTCACGCGTATCTTGTATTTTCAACCCAACGGGCTGAATCGGTCGGACTAAATTTGAACCGCTACGTGAAGCGTTTGTATCATTGAACATATATTCCTTCTTCCATCATTGTAAGTTATGTACATAGATGCTGTTGC